GTTTCAAAGTCAGGCCTGGAAAACTGATCCGAATCCTAATTGGAGTTGGATTCCTGTCCGACCTAGTAAACTTCAGTAGGTCATAACTTGAGTTTTCAAAGTCTAAATCAGGTGATTCAAAAGCCAAAATTTATCTACACATCCATGGCTACAACTTTCATTTAAGAGCCCAAATCAAGATTCAGCCGTTATCTGATAGAAGAACAGGTCACAAGTTCCAGCACGATTTTTGTGAAATCTGTCAATCTGTTTTGATAAAGAATACCTATAATGTAGGGATTTGAGTTGTACACGTCTGGGGAACTATCATATGTTTTCTATATGTATCTAAGGTTTCTTGGGAGGAGAGGAGGCAGCAGAACAAGGAAGGGAGACACAACAATTTTTATATTATAGACTTGGGTTTACCTAAGCAATGAGCAGCTGATTTCCTTTGTTCGGGTGAAGGTATTCTAAGTTGGTATATGGTTTTGTGAGACTTGGTTTAATTATTCAATATCAAATTCTATTCGAATGATATGATTCTCTGATTTATTGATGAGATTACATAGTTCTTTTGATTAAGGTGCACACTAATTGATGTTCCATGTGATAAATGCTAGATTTAGTTCTTGATCCGTAATTGTCTTGAAACTTGATTGTTGTAGCAATCAGATTATGCAGTTGTTTTTCAAACTTTTGTTATTAATTTGAGGGAATTATAAATTGGATTAATAGATTTTGTGACAAACAAAACCCTCTTTTTATTTACATATTATTGCACTTGTTACTTGTTAAGTTAATTCATTTCATTGTGGTATTGACCCTTGCTTGCCACTTCTATATTTGTAGTGTAGTGGTAAGGAATTAATTTTGGCTGTGAACAACACACACAACGTGATACCTAAATATGGACAAAAAAATAATTCGGATAACTCTTAACCACAATTTGAGTAGTTCTTCACAAAAAATGAGTAATATAGGTAGCTCTTGACCAAATTTTAGATCACTTATGATTAAAACTATGTAATTTGTGTAGCTCTTAGACAAAAATTTGGTAAGAGTTATCCAAATTATTTTTTTCCCATATCTACGTATTACATGACAAGTTTATGATAAAAAATCGACTTGAGGGACTAAAAAAAATATATTCAATATTTTAGGGATAAAACTGTGCTGCCCAAATATGTTTACCAAATCTTATATTTCAAATGATGTGTCAAATCTCATGCATTAAATATTTGGTAGAGTTAGTGGACCCCATTGATCTAACCACCCACATTGATTTGGGATACAAAATTTGGTAAATGATTTGGTCAAAATAGCATTGCTCATACTCGAGGGACCAAAATGATGTAATTGAAATATTGAGAACTAAAATGAGACAAGTCTCATATTTTGGGGACCTCTAGTGCAATTAATCCTAGTCCTTATACATCACAATGTTTATATTCATTTTTCAATTAATTCTAATCCTTATACATCACAATGTTTATATTCATTTTTCATTAAAATAATTCCAAGTAAGATTTGGAATTTTTTTTCCTAGCCAATAAGTTTTGATTTTTCATTTTAGATGGGGAGTGGACGAGAGACCACAAGAGGGAAGATGAAAATGGATTAGTAAATGCTCTCTCTTAATTTATTCTATTAATAAAAGGAGAGGAAATGGCTTGGTGTTCACCCTTGAAATACCCATAACACTCTTTATTTTTTTTTTTGGAAGGTAAAGTGTATTAAAATAAAAAGATATACAGGGGAATCACCCACAGATTGTACAGTGACATCATGTATGACTCAAAGACAAACATCAAAAAACCCAAAAGGCTCAAAACACAATCAGAGCATGAAATAAACTTGTTCATAAAATCTCAATATTGTTCATTTTTTTTCTAAATAAATAACTAACTCTCTTTTTAACCCTATTTAACTCCCAATTCTCTTTTTTCCATGGGTAATTGTGTGGGTAGATTATTTAATGCTTAAAAAAAATCTCGAGTTAATAAATTGTTGTAATAGTACATGAATAAAAATATATTGTCTACCAAAAATGCATCTAACTTCATCACTTTGATCTTTACACTTCAATTTGATGATTAAGCCAATTAAGTCAATTTTTTTAGGTTTCAATTTTACGTCTGAATTTATAATTCGTTCTGTTATTTTGGGATTCAAAACAAAAAAAAATTGACTTGTGTACCTTGCATGCAAGGCTTCGCACAAGTATGTATATATAACTTAAATGAAGAAAAAGGTGGAGTCTTCAACTTTTCACACATAGAGAGAGAGAGAGAGAGAGAGAGAGAGAGAGAGAGAGAGAGAGAGAGAAATGCCACCTTTTTTCCTATCACTTTGGCCGTACAAAGTACAACTCACATATGGAGGAATGTTGTGGCTAGCTAGTGTCGTGCTAATTTTTCTGTACATTTATAACTCATTTACATTGTACACAAGAAATTTCACAACTTAATTCAAATTGTGTGATTTTTAAAAAATCGTCGAAGTCCCTATTATCTTTTAGCTATTATGTGACAAAGTACCTACTTGTGTTAAAAGGTGCCCAAACTCTATACTTGGTCGAATTTAACTTATAATTATCACTAGAATGTGTAATAATGATCGTAAAGGCCTAACAAAGACTTTACTTAGATTCTAATTGCATGCATACATTCTCATTTTTTTTATGCACATTCTCATGGTGGGATTATCGACAATAATACAACGTGATTGAATCATACCTACCACAATTATGTGCTTTACATGTAACGATTAAGTCTTATCTTGGTATTATTATAGAATTCAATGATTCAATTGTATTTTATGCTTATTATGTTTTCATCATCCGAATAAGTGATGAAATTAAACGAATTAGACTTCATGGCGGCAATGGACATAATGGGAATAAGCAAAAAGAGATTGTGCTTCCTAGGGTAAAAGGCCTCAAACCAAGTCTTGACCAAACGTTTTAGCGTTTGAGAGGTTAGAAACGAGTGATGGGACAAATCGAGGTGCAAGCCTTTTAAGTGGTCCTAGCTTCCCCCCAAATTGTTGGACTTGAGAGGGATAATCTAGAGTTGGTAAGTAAGACTTGTGAAATAATATTTATGGTGGATGCAATGCATGTGATTTTGGCATTTATATGTCGTGTGCAACTTATGTACTAGTGTAATACATGTAACAATATTTGTTACCTCATTTTGCAGGTAATAGGCTAGGAGATAACAAGACTTCTTTCTCGAAATTGTCTTTGATGCTTAACTTCTGTTAGCATTTATCTTGTCTTGGAAGTTTATGTATTTCGAACTTATGTTGAAGGTTTTTGGCTATGCATTTCTTATGTGCTTTGCTTTGGAGACCTACAGATTATTATGTAATATTGAAACTTAAGGCTAACAAAAGTATGTAATAATGCTTGGGTTTGTTTTAATAGCCCTGGGATGCCAATTTTCTAAAAGAAAATTCATTAAATGAAATGATGATTGACTCACTCAAACTGTAAAAACTGACGAATTATCACTCAAATTAAAATTATTAAATCAGCCCTAGAAAATTTGGGACGTGACGCAAAAATCCTATTAATGGTGTTAATTTTTTATATTGGTCCAAAACCATGGAGGATTTGGTGGTTATATTTGAACCATAAGGGGTGAGCCCTCTTTGGCCCACTAGATTTCCCTTTTTGTGAAGTATTAGACCAAATTTTTGCACATTTCAGCTTTTTGCACATTTTGCATTCTCTTCCATTTCTTTAGTTCTCTGTTATATTTTTAATTACCATCTATTGCATGTTTTGATTTGAGTACCCATTTTTTTTTATTTTGGAATTTTTGCGTTACAAATTGTTTGGATCATGCGAATTTTATGAAAAATAATTTATCTTTTGTATGGGTGGGTGTGATGAGGGTGAATTACACTCAAATTCATATTGTAAAGTGTTAGAGGTTTTTCTACCTTGAAGGGTTTAATGGTTGCATAACACTTGTAAGGAGTTTGATTTCTTGCGAGAGTTAACTACTATTTGTTCATGTAGGTTCGAGGCTGAGAAAGTTTTTTCACTCATTCTGTAGCTTAAATGAGGTTTAGAATAGTTATACGGTAGAAGGAAATCTTTCAAAAGGAAAAGCAAAGTTCTTCATACCTTGTTACTATTACATTATTTACCTACAAATAACAAAAATAACCAAAGAAGATGGGACAGACTCATGCTTGAAACTTCATGGCTGGCCACAGATTAAACTTATAGCCTGTTACTCGCTTGGACTTGCCCTGATCACCACCTGATGGTATTACTCTTCATGGTATTGAAACCTTTCTTAATCTACCACTTCTTGTTCTTCTGTTGGAATGTTTACCTCCTTGTAATTAAACCAAGAAGCAACAAGTGCATAGAAAAAAGATTGGCACAACTCATTGCTGCTAATGTGTAGTAGTACTTATCTAGCCGGCTTTTGTTTACTGTCTCCCCAAACTAGCTTTCACCCCTTCTATCGTTGCTAATCTTTCCCACAACATTGACAGTAAGAACACTAGCTATGAATCCAACTCCCAAGAAAGTTTCAGTGAGTTTGCTCAAATATGACTACATTGAATTAGGTACTTGATCGACCAAAAAATGGGTCATGTTACTAAGGATAATCCCTTGTGCAGCACCTAAGAGGAGAAACTAAGGAATCAATCGGAAAATACTCATTGGGATTGTACTATGAGTGACGTCGATTAGGCCATGTCCCTTGGCCACATTTAACCTCCTTTGGTCCACCAGCGCGGCGACAATGCAACATAAAATGGATATCATAATTCCAAATCCAATTCCTATTGCAGGTACGTGTTTTTGCTTTCCAAAAATGCTTCTAATGATTGCAGTTAAAGCATAAATGCTTGCAGATATATAGATGGAGAATGTATAATGAGAATGTTAAGAACCTGAATCTATGAGTTATACTCATGGCTTGCTTTAGGAAAAAAGAGGTCCCCCATTGAGGAAACAATTCCACATATGATAAAAGGCATCAACATGGGAATCATTGTGAAGAATAGTTTAGTTTATTCCACTTTAGTGATCCTGCAAACCTCCATTTCTGGTTCTCTTGTTCCTTAATAGTTTGTGATCGAGTTAGGATGGCTGCTTTGTCTAGAAACCTGCTAGATTAAGGACGTGTTAACAGAAAGAATTCAAGATGTTGAATGTGCAAGTCACAATGTGCTAAGTGACATATCATTATATGCGCTCCCCAACCATAGCAAGCCAAATTGTTTCCACAACCTCACCAGTCATCAGTCATGCAATTGAGGAAAGGGATATTATATAAACATTTATGCTACAGGTTTTTTTAGCAGTTTAAGCTTTTAGAATATATGGCAGTTCAACAAGGACAAAGGTCATCACCTGAGATGGTTTGTGTGAGGCAGTAGCTCCTGATCGTTTCCAAGGTCATACTTCTTGTAGAGCTCCCTAGGATCCTGTGGGCACGAAAGTTGAATCTTTATACAGGCCTCCATAATAACTCTAAACAAGCTTGTGATTCGACTTCCAGATGGTTTGACACGAATGTAAGAAGATGATCTCAAGAAAAACTGAAGAGTAGCAACCACCAAGCAAATTACTGGAATCCCAAAATGAGCCCCCCATGGTTTTATAAAGGGAAGAACAATGTTGTAACCAACACGAACAAACAAGTCATGGTACTGCCAAACATTATTTGAGGCATCTGGTTGATCAGTTGCTGTTGATCCTTTGCAGATCTAATCAATGGTATTTGTTGAAGCAAGAATGCGTCTAAGGAGCTTAATTGGCCAGCAACTCCAACAACGATTAGAGGTATCGATGTGTAAAATAGGCGCCACTGCAAATCTCCAAGACACAAGGAACTGCTTGCACTTGAAATCATTGGCAAGCTAAAGAAGATTGAAGATGTTGAAATTGCCAACATGCTCCACCCTTGCACATATGTGCCACTACTTCAGGAAAAAAAAAATGGACAGTACATATAGGATATATACCGGTGCTAAAACATTTTCTTAAGATATCTTCCAAATAGTTGGGGTCGTTGCTCTGGATGCTGTTCTCCTGGTGTGAAACTAGTTGGTTCCTTAGTTTTAAAATTCTGCAGATCCCAAATAACTCCTGAGGAGGTCTTGCTTTAGGTGGTCGTGACCAAGAAACCACCAGTTTTGCTTTGTTGGTTAGGAATGGCCGACTTATTAATTTATTCAGTAAACTACTAAAAGCTCATGTAGCCCATGCCGAATTAATTATATTTTGGGTCGTAGTAATGGTCCATTTTCAATCAGTATTCTAATAAAAAAGGAATATACTAAGACCAATATATTCTAAATTCGGAAATAGAAATTCCTAGACATTCTCTTACATTTGACTACTTGCTCGATTCTAAATCGCTAAGAAAAAGGAGACAAATAGAGCTCTCGATTCTATTCATAAACAAATATAAATTGTGATGAGAAACAAAAATGTGGGGCATAAAATATCGAAATTGAAATGTTGCAGGGTAGAAATTTATTAGGAAATACATAGAGTTGAACACAATAAAATAAGAAATTGAAAGATTTTGTTGAAATTGTTCGTTCAAAAATTTTCCGAAAAGCTAATCATAGGTTTTTCTCTCCATTGGAACAGTAAAACTGTTATGCTCATTGGTAAACTTGTTGAAGAGATGAAATATAATAAAGGTATAGAAGAGGGAACAGAGAGCAAACTTACTATGCTCGATGAAAGGCTTGAAACAGAGAGCATCCAATAGTCACCAACAAAAGTCTCCACAAGGAACGTCAAGGCGACTGACATAACATGTACTAAGCCTGTCATGACACTCACAATGGCCGCGTTATGGGTGAAATTTAGCTTCCAAACATCCAATAGAAACACCATGATGTTCCACATGGAATACTTTGATGTCTCATTTGCCCAACTTAGCACTTGAAGATCGATTCAGGGAGAAAAAAAAATCAAACACAATGAAATTTATCAAGCTAGAGTTAGAGTTACAATGATCAATACAATACTGGTTTGTGTGGTTTGTTCTCCAAAACAGTTTTCTATTCTCAAAAATAGTAAAACTCTTAAGATGTTGCTTGGAGAGCAATTTCCAAAAAAAAAAAAAAAAAAGTGAAAATTGAGAACAAAAACTTCTTTGAGTTTTTAAGCCAAAATAGAAAACAAGAAAAACAAGGGAAACAACCCAAAACTCTTTAATGAGGTTTCCCCTTCAAACCTCCTTAGCAGCAAAACATGACATGTCATAATTTTCTTTTTGCTGGTCTTTCCCTCCCAATAATAGATAATAAAATAGAATAGAGCGTGTTGTTTGAGCTGTTTAAGCTCTTCACTTAGAAAAATACAATAATAGTCTAGATCGTTTAGATCATACGGTTTATATTACGATTTAATACTTTAACTTTTTAATTACAATAACTCATTTAAATAATATTTAACTAAAAATAACTAAAATACAAGAATAATGTTATTAGAACTTAAGAATTTAATTTAGTTTGTTGATCTAATAATGTGACTTCATTGTAACTATTGGAATAACACTAAATTCTAATATTTGATGGGGATATGATCAATTCAATGACTATAGCAAATTAAGTATTAATAGCATTGCTAAAAAAACAAATGCCTTGGGTTCAATGAGAAAGAACTCAAATTTTGTCACTTAATATTTGAGTTCGAATCTCTATAACTAGGGGCGAAGGGAGGCATGGGCCAGGGTGGGCAAGTGCCCCCCCTCAATTTTTTTTTCGTTAGTTAGGTATGTATATTATATATTTGTATAACATATTATTTGTGCCGACCTAAAAAATTAAAAAGTTAAGCGCATTTAAAACGAAGAAATTTGAGCTCACCACTATCTACCCAAACTTATTAAAAAAATTAAATCTTTGACCTATCACAATCCACCCAAACCTATTAAAAAAACAAAACTTTTGCCCCCGCCCTTAATTTTTTGTTGCTTCCATTAAGCATGTATTTTTTGAAATAAAATTTAAACATATTTAATTATGTTCACCCTAATATTATGTTTTAGTGATATTAATTGAATAGACCCCTACCTAAATGATTGTTAAATTTTTGAACAATATTATTGAAACCTAATTTAAGGACCTAGTACATTACGATATTAAGTATAATAGTGAGTCTTAATAATTTATATACTCTACTATCTATCTAATGGTCACAAATCATTGGGACTCTATCAATTAAATCTCAAATTAAGTACAACTAATATAGTTGTTAACTTTTAGACTTATTTTAGACATGTCCGAATATCTTTTGAATATATTGATATTATTTTATAATTTTTTTTAAATTGTAGGATATTTTGTTATTGTATAAAAATGTGTGTCGTTATATAGTAAACTATAGGGTCGTAAATAAAAGATTATTACTGCGATTTTATATATAAAAAAATATTGTTGATAAAATTAATTTATAACTCTTTCAAATAATAAAAACATATCAGGATCAATTATAAGTAATAATAATTAGTTGTATTCTCTATAAGAAGTTTTAATTATTATTTTTTTGTCCATGTTATGTATATCGATTTTTAATTTTTTATGTTTAAAAAGTATTAAATATAATTTTAATAAATATAAATTTATGAACTTTTACGGTTTATTAAAAAAAAATTAAAACATGCTAGTGTGCGTACCCTAAATTTTTTTTTCTGGCTCTGCCCCTATCTATAACTACGACAGTTCGGTGGGGGCTAAACTTACTCTTGAACATCCAAAGTACGTGATGAGACTTTAATTTTGGTAGCAATGTTGATGTGAAGAGGTCTCTTACAGATAATTGTGTGACATTGAAGAACAATCCTCCATGACATATATGTATAGTGACATTAAAGAACAATCTATGTAACTATTTTTTATACCCAAAAAAAAAAAACAAATGTCTCTCATTCTCTAGCGCCGTTGCATGTATTGCACGTCGCATTTCAGACCGATGAAGGGATTTGTCAAATTGAACGTACGTTGACTTAAACCAAGAAAGAGATTAGTTGAATCAGGTGTAAATTGGCTCGAATAGCACATTAAAAAAAGAAAAGAAAAGAAAAGAAAGAGCCAACAAAAAGAGAATCAACTTATCCCAAGTTGTTTGTAAGAGAGAGAAACCAACAAACAACAACAACTATCTCAGCAAGTGCATGAACCCAACCCTCCAAACCACTCCAACCCCTCCCTATATAAACCACCTCTACACTCTCTCTCACTCCTCACTTCACAAGAATTCCACCCAATTCAAAGTGAGGCAAGAGAGCCTTAAAGACTCAGACACTGCAAAGCTCAAACATGCCTATTCCTTCTTCAACCATGGCTTCTTCGCAATCTCTAATTCTTATCTCCAAATGCACCATCTTCCCAGACCAAAAATCTATACTCTCTGACCTCAAACTCTCCGTCTCCGATATTCCGATGCTTTCCTGTCACTACATTCAAAAGGATGGTCTTTTCACTCGCCCTCCTGTTCCAATTGACTCTCTCATCTTTCTCCTCCAATGTTGTCTCTACCCGACTCTCTCTCTCTTCCCGCCACTCGCCGAACATCTCAAAACTGACACTTCCGGTTATGTTTATATCACATGTAACAACGCCGGAGTTGACTTCATTCATGCCAGTGCAATTCGCATTCATGTTCGTGACATTTTGTCCCCAACTGATGTCCCTAATTGTGTCAAAGAATTCTTCACTTTTGATAGAACAGTGAGTTACGACGGCCATTTCAAGCCTATATTGGCTGTGCAAGTGACTGAGCTCGCCGATGGCATTTTCATTGGCTGTGCACTCAATCACACTATTACTGATGGCACGTCGTTTTGGAACTTTTTCAATACTTCCGCGGAGTTTTGTGGAACTGGTGCGAGGAATATTTCAAGGGTACCAGACTTCCACAATGAATCGATGCTGATCTCGCCGACGGTTCTCAGAGTACCTAAGGTGGACCCAAGGTCACTTTCTCCGTCGATGCTCCGTTGAGAGAGAGAATTTTTAGTTTCAGCAGAGAATCTATTCTGAAACTGAAATAAAAAACAAACAATCAAAAATTGATCTGTAGTCGTAACGGAGCAATTGATAGAGTCAAATTGATGGGGAAGCAAAGCGACGATCCTTTGAAGTTCATCGACGGGAAGATAATGCCGTTGAAATGGCTACGAAATGCCGTTTTGAACACCGAAATGTTGTATGCCAATCCAATTGTAGAGATCTCATCTTTTCAGTCATTATGTGCTCTGCTATGGAAAACGGTGACACGTGCTCGGAAACTACCATCGTCCAAAACGACAACATTTTAGAATGTTGTTTCCAAAACCAAAGCTCGATCCGTACTATTTTGGAAACGCAATTCAGAGCATTCTGAAGTACGCCTCCGCCAGTGAGGTTTTGTCACGTGATCTCAGATGGTGCGCCGAGCAGCCGAACAAGAATGTGAAGGCCCACGATAACGCTACGGTGAGGCGATGCGTAGAGGATTGGGAGCAGGACCCACGGTGTTTCTTGTTGGGAAACTTTGACGGGGCGATGATCACAATGGGAAGTTCACCAAGATTTCCAATGTACAACAATGATTTCGAGTGGGGCAGACCTGTAGCTGTTCGGAGCAGGCGGGCTAATAAGTTTGACGGTTGGATTTTGGCGTTTTTAGGGAGGGAAGGTGGTGGGACCATTGATTTGGAGGTGGTCTTGGTGCCCGAGACTATGGCGGGTTTGGAGTTGAATTTAGAGTTCATGTATTACGTGTCGGGTTATTGAATTGTTCATGGTTTGAGTGTGACGGGTTTGTGGACCCTGTGACAGTTATAGTTGGTGATTGGGAGAAGTGAAGGGACGCTTTGTCTGTGTTATGTTTTTTAGATTTTGAATTTAATTTGTTAAGGAAATGTTTAATTCGTGTTTTATTATCACTTACTATAATCATCCCACATTTTTTTTTGTCGCTAATTTGATCTTTTCGAGAGAGGCGATAGTAAGGTTCAAACCCACGACTTAACAGTCTAATAGTAGGTTACGGTGGCCATTTTTTTTTTTGGGTTCAATAGCTGTCTAGATTAGTTTATACACATCTCGACTAACCCATCTCTGATCTAGTTAAAGATAGACTATTCACGTCAAATCTAGAGAATTTAAGAGAGATAAATCCCTTATGATCAAAACCGAAGGCCAAAGGGGTTGCGATGGCCATTAAGCTAATTGCTGATCCTCAATTATCTCACCTGTGAAGTTGCATAATTTATGGAGAAAAATGGATTTTTGTCTAACTCATTAAAAAATTGTTCATTGAGAGAGATTCCTAGCATAACGATAATTTTATTCCATTTGGACTTAAAAGTTTACAGTTCGATTCGTACAAACAATCTATTTGTATACAAAACTGCATAAATCTAATACAATTCAAAACTCGCAAAAATATAAATACTCATGCACTGAATTGCATATATCTAACCTTTTTTTTTATTTACTTCTTTTTAGATATAACTTAAATCAATTGCTGATTTTTATTTTTTATATTTAAAAAAAAAACCTTAAACTATGGACCCACATGCACAAAATGGAACATTGCATATGGAGTTACCTTTTGTATTTCAAGTTGCCAGTATAAAAAGAGGGAAAAAAGATTATGCAGAGAGTTTTGCCTAGTCTTTCCGAGGCAAACCATTCCTGCCTGTGGGAGTGGGGCTATCAATACATTGAATATCATGTATTCATTGTCATAATCAGTTGCCATCCAAACAAAGAGTATGCTTATAGATTATGTGATTCCAAAATGGATTCACTTTGTCTCTCTGTTTGTATCCAGTAACTAATCACACCTATTAGTCACGGTTACATTTCATCAACATTTTTAAAATCAAAATATTATATTGGATCAATCGAGGAAGTTATAAAATCGAATAAAGAATCATAAAATCCTATTAATTAAAAAAATGAGATAAAAAATATATGTAGCAATATAAAATTCCCAAAAATAAAACTAGATAAACCTAGTATATAAACTAATAGAAATGCTATGCCAAACCTAATTTTTTTTTTTTTTTGGATTGGTCAAACATAGAACTTAAAATATGCTTGAAATTTGATAAACTACAACTTGAATACTAAAGAAGGTTTAAAATCAAAGGTGAATTGTTGTTAATCATGTAGAATTTTGCAAAGAGAATATGAGGATTGAAGTATTTTGATCTTAAGTTTCAAAGAGAGAGAGACTGGAAAGTTGAAACTTTGTTGAATAATAATATTGAGTATATGACATCCAAAAAAAAAAAAAGCAAAATAGAATAAAAATATCAGACTATTTGGCTATGATTACTCGCCGAGAGAGAAAATTAAATCTAATTGTTGCTTTAAACTTTTCAAAGAGAGATGAATGAATAAAAAGACTCTTTTGTAAACGAAAAGTATGAACTAGGTTTCTCAACAACTAAATGCACCTAAGAAGCAAAATTAACAACTTGAATCAGTAAGATCACAATTCAGATCGGAATCCTACATTCCCGTGTAGACCCAGATCGATTTACTTATAACCCGTCATATAAAATCTTAAAATCCATATCAGAATTTTGATAATCATGCATTCCATACTCCTCGTGTATCAAATACTGCCTATAGCATTACTAGATTTTGATCCCTATTCCCTAGAAAATTACAAGGCAACCAAAGGGGACGTAGGGGGGTAGCACATCAAAATAGAGCAAAACAACGTTCCATTCTTTTTAGTTTTCAATAATTTGCCTTCTTAATCTTACAATGTGTGTTACACAAGAGAACTTAAACCTAAATTTTTTACTTTGAGCGAACTAGCATTCCCATATTTCCAAAGAAAAATTAAACAAAGGCCCAATCAAGCCATCAAATTCTAAGAGATTTTACATGGTTTCTTCATAGCATTTAACCCAACCCAAAACAATTTGGATGGAGAACGACAACCAACTAATGCAAAAAATCTCGAATATATTACAACAATTTCTCTAGGACCCAAAAAATTATCATAGTTCTCATATAAGGGCATAACTTACAAAAATTGGCCACATTTTAAAAGAAAAACCACCTTGGCCATACATTTTCCTCTTGAAAAGAGATGGTAGATATCACCTATAGAATTTGAGCAGTGGTGTTCAACTTTTCTGCTAAGCTGAGTTGTGTTCAGGTGATGCTTGAGAGTGCATTCTACATATCATCTTCTTTAATGCGTTATATATGAGATACAGAGGTTGTCTAGTCTCACTATCTTGTGTCACTGGACTGAAGAAGCACCTCAGAGTAGAATGACATTTTTATGTTTGATTTCCAATTTGTCCTTTAAAACCAAATAATATAGGGTTTGGACATCGTGACTTGATTTTCTTCTAAAATGGACTCGCCACCGAAAACACTATTTTGTTTTTAGTTGTTAAGGACATTTTCAATCTTCAGCCAAACTCATAAATTTGAGTAAAAATAGGGTAGAAACAACTCACAGTCCTTTATTCAAATTCATACTAAATGAAGGAACACTCAATTGTTTTTACTCAAATCAAGGGAATCTTAAATCTTTACTCAAATTCTAAGTAGTCAAATTTTACTCTCTTTTAAAAATTCATTGGTCATATTTTATCAACCTTTAAATTTGAGTTTGTCATCTGCCCCCACTCTAATTTTAAACTATTTTGGGTTTCATATGAAAATTTGAAAATTATTTAGGATTTGCCCCCATTAAAAAGTTAGCCAAAAAAAAAAATAAGAGGCAAGTTTTTACAAATATGGATATAGAAAATTTGGATTCGATAGTTATCCGATATGATTACATATACACATATATACATATATTAATGAAAATTAAGTTATTATTTAACGATATTGTGTTAAAATTAAATGTAATGTTTTAAAATTCACCTCTAATTTAATTATTTAGATGAAAATATTTTTTTTAAAGGATTCGATATGAACTTTAAAACTTAGTTTCGTTGAATAATAAGAGCAAATACGGATTAAGTTTTTAAATCAGATTCGAATGAATTAATATTTTATCAAAATCTTATCGTTAACAAGCATACTAGTAATTTATTTGTAAGGCGCAAAAAGTATTGATAATGAAACTAAAAATTTTATCTTATGTTTGGGGAACTAATTCAGAGATTTAATTCAATACAATTATTAAATTAGCTATGAGCTTCAATATCAGATTAAGTTAATTTTTAATCGCACAATTATAATTGATTAAGTCCTCAAATAAAAACAAACAACATTTTTCTATGTAATATGATTCAATCTCCATCTGAGTACATAATAAAATTCAAACTTAATTGAGGAGTCAAAACAGAAAGCTTGTTTAATTGGTTTGAAGCAATTTAAGAGCAACTTCATTAGCCATTGAGGAAAATGCTATTGTAGTTAATCTAAAAACCTAATCAATTATAATATTCGAGATAAAAATAAATCAATTATAATTGTTGAATTAAAAAATGGGTTTCATCAAGCTCACAACAAACTCGAATGTTATTTGAACAATATTATTTGGACATAATTTAGGGAATTAAGGATAGTGGACACTAGATTGTTAACGAGTACTACTATTAAATGGACTCCATTATCAATCCGATGGTTATAACACATTAAGTCTCAAATTATATCCCAATAACATTAGTGTTGTTATGAGCAATGTTATTTGAATCTAAGTTATAAGACTTATTCATTTATATTTATTGAATTGACAGTGAACATCAGTATTTGTTGAAATAAACAATCAATCCTATAATTATGATGGATTAGGTTAATAAATTCAAAAATATTATTTAGATTTAATTTGTTGACTTAATTGAGAGTTCACCATCAATTCAATAGTTATGAATAATTAGGTGTTTGTAGCTTTGTTCTTGATGGTGCTCGAAGTCTCTTTACTCAATCGCAGAATGAATAAGGGGTTAAGCCCAGTGGGGCTTGGTGTGTGATTGAGATAATGTAATGGTTTGGAGATGAAGCAAATAGCAAAATATGAGTGGTTCACCTTAGCCAAAAGACTAAGGCTATGTTCACTCTTGCCCCTTGAGGATTATATTACTTTAAGAAGAAGGTAGCAATTACAGTAGTCTTGGCTAGTAACCTTATACAAAATATTTCTTAGGTAGCTTATGGAACTCGCTCTTTTTTTTTTAGTGGCTTCGTCTTCTATTTATATATCTTGCTGTCTAGGGTTTCTGCAATTCTTCTTTTTTTGACTAATTTTTTGGTCCCCTTCTTATTTGTCCTATAGCAAGATTAGCTTGATGTTTTCAACGCTCACGATCTTTGAAATGGAATGTATGTGATATTCCCTTTATTAGGGAATATTTGTTCGTTAGAGTCAGACATTGTCCCTCTATCGCTTGGCCACGTGGCTTGATTGGGGTTACTTGAGGCTGGTCTTGTGCTGAGTTCCTTATTCCCGAGTAAGTACATGTCGTTGAGCTTGCTTGGACCGAGCGGGTATATATCTCGAGTTGGACGATCCTAAACTTCTACAACCCTTGGCTATGGCTCAGTCCCATTATATGGCGGGCGCTATTCAGATGGGTTTTGGGTTGTTCTTTAACAGGTCCACTGGGTGTTTTAGGCATTAAGTAGGCGACTTAATCTTAAATTCATCATCATCACTTCTAATAAATTATGTCGGCAAATAACATCCAAATAATGGTGTTTTAAATGAGTTAGATCCTGATTAGGTTTGACATAATTGCTCCCACTGAAAAAGTAAGGTAAATTGATTGATAATTGAATGGTGAGGATTAGCTCGGAATCTTTTTCACTTTGTATGTGGTGCAAAGCTAACCACCACTTAGACTAAAGTACAAAACGCAGATTGAGAGGGTGGTGAGTAAGCATTGAAGAAAAGATTTAGATGACGGATTGAGAGAGTGGTGAGTAAGCATATTTTAACCGTCAAAGAAAGCTTGGAGAGGAAATGCAAGGAGTTAAATTGCCAACCGCCGGAGTTTCAAGTTTACTTGAACGATCTTCCCAGTAATGATTTCAATTCGCTCTTCAAAGACTTGTCTAGAGTCGGTGAAGATCAAAAGAGTGATGTTCTTGTTCCATGCTTTGTGATGGGAGCTCCTGGTTCTTTCTATGACGGCCTCTTTCCTCGCAGATGGTTGCATCTTCTTCATTCCTGCTACAGTGTCCACTAGCTCTCGCAGGTTTGCATCAATCTTCATACTCTTTCTAAACAAGAATTCCGAAGTAGGCATCTCAATACTTCATGTGGTGCTGTATTTTTAAATAAATTCAAAATTTATTCAACTCAAATTTAATCTATTTTAGGTTTGTAACTTATTTACTTTATATGTTCTATAGTTCACCTGATAATTATCCAAATGATCTAAAACAAATTCAAACCCACTCACTTTGTTTGACTCTGGATCCTGTGTCAAATGTACTAAGTCATGTATATAATTGATAGTCTTAATCCTCTGGGTTAATTGTAATGGAGGTTTCAAAATATAAAATTTGTCTTATTTTGATTCTAATATTTCAATTACATCATTTTGGTTTCTAAAGTATTGAATATATTTCAATGTGGTCCCTCAAGCAGACAACATCACGTGATTCCTAAATATGGACAAAAAATACTTTAGATAACTCCTAACAAAAATTGGGGTAGTTCTTTACAAAAAATGTGTAATATATGTAGACCTTGACCAAATTTTAGATCGCTTATGATTAAAACTATGCAATTTGTGTAGCTCTTAGACAAAAATTTGGGAAATAATTTGGTCAAGAGTTATTTAAATTATTTTTTATTCATATGTACGTATTACATGACAAATTTGTGATAAAAAATCAACTTGAGGGACCACATAAAAATATATTCAATATTTCAGGGATAAAAGTGTGCTGCCCAAATATGTTTACCAAATCTTATATTTCAAATGATGGGTCAAAATCTCATGCATTGAATATTTGGTAAAGTTAGTGGACCCCATTGATCTAACCACTCACATTGATTTGGGATACAAAATTTGATAAATGATTTGGTCAGAATAGCATTGTTCAAAATTCAGGGACAAAATGATGTAATTGAAATATTGGGAACCAAAATGAGACAAGACTTATATTTTGGGGATCTCTAGTGCAATTAACTCTAATCCTTATACATCACAATGTTTATATTCATTTTTCATTGAAATAATTCCTAGTAAGATTCGGAATTTTTTTTCCTAGCCAATAAGTATTGATATTTCATTTTAGACGGGGAGTGGAAGAGAGACCACAAGAGGGAAGATGAAAATGGATTATTAAATGCATATTTTTTCCACAAAAAAGGATACCAAATTAAAAGTGAAATTTAGACCAGCAATTTTAAAAGTTCCAAAGACAAAAAAACAAAAACAAAAACAAAAACAAAAACAAAGACAAAAACAAAAAAATGTTATATATTTTGAGTAAATAGATATTTGTGCCATAGAAATACCAAGTAGATACAAATTATTGCTCTCTCTTAATTTATACTATTAATAAAAGGAGAGAAAAGGGCTTGGTGCTCACCCTTGAAATACCCATATAATACCCTTTATTACTTTCTAAATAACTACACATAACTCAGATTTTTCCTCCATTCAATAATCTCGTTCATAAAATATCAATATTGTTGTTCATTTTTTTCTAAATAAATAACTATCTCTCTTTTTAACCCGATTTAACTCCCAATTCTCTTTTTCCACGGGTAATAGTGTGGGTAGAGCATTTAATGCTTAAAAAAAAATAAGAATCCCGAGTTAATAAATTGTTGTAATAGTACATGAATAAAAATACATTGTCTATCAAAAATGTATCTAGCGTCATCACTTTGATCTTTACACTTCAATTTGATGATTAAGCCAATTAAGTCAATTTTTTTAGGTTTCAATAGTATTACTCTTCTTGAAATGCTTGTTACTTGGGATTTAATTTTCACGAAAGGACAAGGAGAAAACACAAAAGAAATTTTCATTGTTTTTAGAAAAACATATTCTTAAAAAAAAAATGTTACCAACGGATGTCTGAAATAAAACATGACATGTTTGTTTTTGACATGTCACAAATGTACTGATTAATTATTTCAATGTAACTCGATGAATAAAAGGTACCCAAAGGACTTACAAGCAAAGAAGGCATGCCATTGAACAAGGGGAAGATCAATATATCAAAGACAAGCCCTCCTGTTGTAGCAGCAGCCTATCTAGCTCAATTTAAAGAAGATTTCACCTTGTTTTTGAAGTATTGTGCTAAAGAGATGGTTCAAAATGGTCGTATGGTCTTATAATTAATGGTCGACAAGCTTCGGATCCTTGGGGAAGGAGAGATGCTACCATTGGGAAATATTAGCCGAGGCCATATCTGAGATGGTTTCACAGGTAAAGTTTTTTCGGAAAATAAGATTGTTTTTAGAAGCTATAAACATATGATGCAATCTTTATGCTCCTTTAAGAACCCATATGCAAGTGAAAACCACACAAAAACTGTAAAATTATATAACTCTCACAAGGCAAAGCACTACCTTCATGTCTTTCTAGGGGTCATGCATGTGTGCATATAGGAAGAAGGAGAAAGACATAGGAGTTAGAAGAGGTTAGAATAGAAAATTTTAGGTCGTTAAATGTGGTAAATTGAAAGTTATAGGTGGTAAAGTGGTAGAGGGGCAGTTAATACGTAGTTAAACATAAAATATTAGTGATAGATTTATAACTAATCTTACTTCTCCTTTTATTAATAGTATAGATATATCATATTCTATTTTGTCGTTGTACGAGATTATACATTTAGTTAATCATAACCCTACGATGTCTACCGAATTGAATCATTATTGACATGAAGATGGCACATAAAAATAGCTTCTAGTTGAAAAATCTGAAATCCCTGCCCTTTAAGTTGTTTTCAGAATATTGTATAGTAATGAATGGTGGTTCATAGAAGTAGATAAGTTCAAAGAATCTTTTTTGAAAGAGATCCAAGGATCTTCAAAGATGACTATGCTGACACAAAATTCCAATGACTGTTGAAGTAGTAACATGGACGAGTTGTAAATTCAAACATTTTAAATTCAAATTTTGACAACTCCTTGAGATCAATTAATGAAGAATTTATTCCTTATGAATACCCTAGTCCTGACGTGGATTATTTGTTTTTGATCGAATCAGGAAAAAATAAATTGAAGTGCACATAAACTAACTCAAATACTCATAATGTTGAAGAAAAGAAAAAAAACAAAGGCTAAGCTTACACAAAAACCTTGAAATGAGATATAGGTTTTGATAAAGCAATATCCTATAGCTAGCCTTGTAGGGAATACTGGGGTATTGGAGTATGAACACAATCCAAAGGGCAACTGCATATATTTAGGTTAGAGAAGTGATGAAAGTTTTATTTCAAAGTACCTAAAAAACAATGGATGAACCTACATCAGGTTTATCAGGTCCCTTCCTAGCGGTTTAATTTGGGCAAGTCAATCGAACTTAACTAAAGCTCAACCCAAAATATTAATTATTTGGATAAAAAAATTTAGTACCCAAGATAGGTTTAGAAATATAAAAAATAAAAATAAAAAATCGGAAATTGAGACCTTCAAGCCATATTAATGAATTTGAGTTCAACGTGAGTTAAACCTCCATTCAAAATAAATTGAATCTAAATTTCAATTTCAAGAGTTGAACCCTATAATCAAACCCGAATTAACCCACAAAATTGAATTCAAGAATTAAACCCTAAATTTAGCTTAAGTTTGAAAATTCAAGCATAGAAGGACTCATGTTGAAGACGTGCTTGGGTTGAATTCAATTGGGTAATTGACCTCTCAATCCGCCCAATGCTCTCTCCCAAAGAATGAAAATACATGTAAATTTTCAGAGAAGAAATAGGCTGAAAAAGAAGATCCGCGTGAAGCTGTGTACCCTTTTAAGAGCTAAAAATAGACACGCTAAAAAGCCAAGTATCAAAAGAAGCATCTTCAAGTTTGGCAATATGGTCTGGCTTCAATTTCAATCTAACGATCACGTTACATCGTCATTATCACATGATGTTAAATGAGTAATGTAAACTTTATATGAGGTAATTATTAACTTAGTTGGAAGGTAGTTTTTGTATTATGTGGGCTCCCCTTATATACTTGTTATTTTTCTAGTAAATGATAACATCTAAGACTGATAATTGAGTCGAGTTGCTCGGACTCGACTCAAGCTCGGCTCGTGTTTCAAACTAACTGAACTTGAATAATTTTTTAGACTCGTTTAAAAAATGTGTCTAAAATGTTCGGCTTGAGCTCACAAAACTCTGTTCGTTTATATGTAAAATAGTTGAACTACTCAAATTTTTAAGTTCGTTTAAAAAAATGAGTTCGACAGAGTTTAGCCGATTATCAGTCCTAATAACATCACATAATATCGTGATGTCACGAATACTTTCTCGGCTTCAAAAGAAGCACCGGATTTTCAGCGAAAGCCCACCATGAAAACCTTCATATTTAGCAAGACACCACGTCTATATTCTCACGAGATTCAGGATAAAGCAAGGCATGCTAGTTTCCAAAATAGGCATTTATTAAGTGGAGGAAGAAGGTGTCAATCAAAAGAGTAAACCCGAATCACAATCTGGCAAGTCACTTTTTTTTTCCCACCATTAGAGATCTTCAAATTAATTTATTCGCATTTTGATTAATTTCTTTCTCGATCCGATTAAAAATAAGTTATCCATACTAAAATTAGGGTATTCATAAGAAATAAATTTCTCATAGCCTAACTCCAAGAGATTATCAAGACTCAAACTCATTCGTTTGGATTTATAATTCTGTGTACTACATATACTTAAATCTAGCATCATCTCAAAACTATTACATATATATAGGTCTATCTTGTAGTTCTTTATCGAACAGTAATATCATGTATATACAATGATATCATAGTTGTAGTGAATAATTACCGCCGTGTTGGTGACTTTAATTTTTTGTTTATTAGAAATCAAAGCGGGTTACTTATATATTTTAATCTGGTTACTTAATAGCTGAAATGAATAATACTTGGTAAATATCCCTCGACCAAGGTCTAAATTGCTGACATAATGTCTACCCAATAACTAGAAAACTAGCATTCCACACTTCAACAACAGCATGAACACCCGAATCTTTCGTTGCCTCTTTTCTTGCCATTGAAATTTGGTGGTCACGCGCGATCAGGCATTGCAATCTCTCCGGGACATTACCTTGAGGTTTTCACTCATTATAGAATGTTTGG